TTGAGCTAGTTTTTTTTGCGTTTTTGCTCTCTCGGTAAACTGAAAAGACTATTATGTCCTTCTGATATATTTTTTTATACATTTTCTATTTAATTTAAATGAAAAATAAAATAATTACCTAATTTGGGCCAACCTCTCTTTTCTCTCTCTCTCTCTCTCTCTCTCTATATATATATATATATATATATATATATATATATATATATATATATATATATATATCTTAGGAAAGCACCATAGATCTGTACAAACACGTTAATGTCCCTATGACCTCCTAATATCCCCAACCCCAAATTTAAGAACCCCAAGAAAAGTAGAAAAGAACGATCGATCATTCGATCTTTAAGCTTCCTGCTCCAGGAACCGAAGTTCCACTCGTTGCTGATTAATTCCTCTAAGAAGGAAGTTAATTAACTGAGCAATTTTAACTTGGGGAAGAAGCAGATGGTATGCATCAGGAAAAAACGAGCCATGTGATGAATTTCTTCTTCTTCACCCATCCTACAACTATAGTGAAATTCCCTAAGGTGCTGTTTGTTTTTTTGAAGTCAAAAAATCTGCAGTCTGCGGACCACATCTGCAAGCCTCTGCGGTAGAAGATGTGGATCAAATATCTGCAGTCTGCAATAAGAAGATTGTTTGTTTTTAACGTCTACGGGCTGTTAAAATATATTGAATTTTTAAATTTAGATTAAAATGAGGTCTGAAGACCTTTGAAGATAGTGGCCCATGTCTGCGCTAGGAAGACCTCGCACAGACGTTTTCTAATCTGCGCACTTCCAAAAAACAAACAATCTGCAAGGGGATATGTCTGCGCGTTGTTTGCACGGCGCAAACAAAAGTGATTGCGCAGATCTTTACACAAAAAACAAACAGTCCCTAAATGATCTGAAAGTCGCATTACCCATCCTCTGTGTGAATCTCTGAATAATTGACTTTTAACCTTCTAAACCCCAAAAAAAAATCCAGAACCGGTCCTAGCTATCAATCGATTAACAACATAGGATTTTTTCCGTCAAAGTGTATACAGAAAGAAAAAAATAGATCTTCTCATCCCCTCATCTTTTTTGCAATCGATGCAGAACGTGGTGGTGTGTTGTGTTCTATTATTCCCACTCTCTTAATCAATTAACAAGTCTAAAAAAACGAATCAAGAACAAGGTAATTGAGGTGGGTATGTAAAGAAGATGATGCAAGAGGTAATGCCTGGTGGTGTAAGGTTTGTAGAAACGATGGAGCTTGATATAGGAGGGTAATTAAGGTGATGGTTGGTGCATAGATGGAGATAGATCTGCAAATTTATGGGTTAGTAAACTGGGAACCAAATCTCCTATTGTGATGTGTATGTATATGCATATGTGAGGAGAAAATAGGTAACGAATGTGTTGGGTTTGGATTTTTGAAGAAGATGAAGGTGTTGAAGAATTTGAGTTGCAGGTTAGATTTTAAGTATAAGCTCTTGGTTTTGATTTGAGGTTAGAATTAGATTTCAACAATGGTGGTGGATGTCGTGATTGGTTGTTAGAATTAGATTTCAACCATATATGGAAGTGGTAGACGGTGGTAGTGGTAGACAGTGGTGTAAGTTGACGGTGGTCAAAGGGTGGTGGTGGTGGAAGATATTCTTAAGTTCATGAATATGTTCTTGAGTGTTCTTGAAATTATGAAAATATGTTCTTAAGATTATGAAGGTGTTCTTAGGTGTTGAAAGAGAGAGAGAGAGAGAGAGAGAGAGAGAGAGAGAGAGAGAGTGTGTGTGTGTGGGTCCTCTATTATTTTTTTAATTGTTAAAATAAATTAATAAATATTAAATTGTACGAAAAATGAAGGAAAAATGAAAAACAAATACCCCAAGGGTATTATAGTCATTTCAATTTTCGGAGGGACTATTTTCACATACAAACCACTCCAAAAGGACCATCAATCCAAAAAAGGCGTGGTTTGGATTAAAACCCCAAAATTCTGCATACCATATGGACCATTTTTGCAATTTTTTCTTTTAAGAAAAAACAATTAAGAATAAGTTAAACATGCCAAAAAATCAAATATTCTTTTAGAATTTAAGGTAAATAATCAGTTTAACTTAACAAAAAATCAAATATTCTTTTAGAATTTATGATTAAGAAATTATTTAAATAAGTTGAACATACCAATGAATCAAATATTGCTTTAGAATTTTTGATTATGTCTCTACAACACCACAAATGTTTTATTCAAATAAAGTAATTTTTGAAGAATATATAGTTTCCTAAATTTATTTTTTTATACAACTAAAGAATTCTTGAAGAACTGAAGTGTTATGGCTCTATAAAATCACAAATGTTTTATACAACTAAAGTAATTCTTAAAGAATATATAGTTTTCTAAATATATAACACCACATTTCTTTTATACAACTAAAGAATTATTGAAGCATACAATATCTAAAACTTTTTGTGTTTCCATGTTTGTGAAGATCGATGACCATCGTTTATCTACATCCCACACAACATCATGCAACATTCAGGCCATTGA